AGGAGACTGGGTCAGGGAGGCCCAAGGATGAGCCCCACAGACTGGAGGTCAGGGAAGTGTGCTAGGGTAGGGACAGCTTCGCTAACACGGCACAGAAGCAGAAAGAGCCCTCTAAACCCCAAGGCAAAACATAAACGAATATAACTTGGAGCTGCGGTTTTGTAGACACCTCGGGCACTCAGCAGGGCGCCACCAAGGCCTGGCCAAGGGACTCAGGCAATGAAGACCCGGGGCCAAGCTTGAAAGAGTGTCAAAAGCTTCAGGGGGCGGGGCATAGATGAGGGCTCCCGCTCAGGGAAAGCACCACTCCGAACCACGCTTTGTAGACCTCTGGGAATTGCCAGGGGAAGGGGGCGCCCTGTCGGTGCAGAGCACAGCTGGTGGGCGGGGGCAGCGGGCCAGGAAAGGGCGGACGCATTTGGAGGAGGTGGCTTGGCTGTATCCCTGGCCCGGGGGGCAACGCTCACCATCTCCGGACCTTCTCGATGGTCGCCATCACCTTCTTGATGTCATCTTTGGCCCGGCTCCGGGTCTCGGCCCGCACGGTCCGGCCGGCCATGCTGGCGGGGCTGGGGCCGGGACAGAGCCCGTGGTGGGGCGGCCTGTGGTCCGGCGATCTCAGGCTGCGCGCCAGGCCCCGGCGCCGCTCTTCGGCCTGCCGTCCCTCCGGGAGTTGGCCGCGCCCTCCCTCGCTCCCCAACGCCTCCGCGCGTCCCCGCCTGGCTTCCTGAGACCGCGCCCCGCCCCGGCCTGTCCCCGGAGCGGCCCGGGCGGCGCGGGCGGCTAGAGCCCCGGCCTGGAAGCCCGGCCAGCCCCGCCCCGGCCCGGGCCCGCCCCTCGGGGCGCACGGACGCACAGCGCCCTCTGCCCGCCACGGAGAGGGAGAGCTGGGGGGCAGCTGTGCGGCTGGACGCGCGCGGCCCGAGCGAGGCGGTGCGTTCCGGCCACGTGGGCACAGGGGTGCGCGAGAGGGACTGTCCTGGTGTGCGTCCGCGGCGGGTGGGCGTCCCTGAAATGCTCTGTGTGCGCGTCTGCCCTCTCCAGGCTGTTTGCTTCTACGCTGCCCAACTTAACTTGTTCATTCATTCATTGAACAGTCCCGTAACAGTGCCAAGTACATGCCAGACTTTCCGAGTGAAGAGCAGACCTCCTCAGCCAGAATGGCGGGAGTGAAAAAGACCACGTAGGTGCAACTCGCCATACCTTGAATCAGGGTGTGTAATTGGTAGAGATAATTTGGAAAACTAACAGTCTTCCAGTGAAAAATTTATACCAACCCCGTCTTCTAATTTTCTACTCCCAATCTATCAACACTCAACAGAAGAAGTGTGTCCTGCCTAGTTTTTTGTCAACTAGACACAAGCTAGGGTCATCTGGGATTAGAGAACCTTGGTGGAGAAAACGCCTTCGTCATGTTGCCCTGTAGGTAAGACTGTGGGCCATTTTTCTTGATAATAGTTGATGTGGGACAGCCCAGACTACCGCGGGCAGTGCCACCTCTGGGCGCTCTAAGAAAGCAGGCTGAACAAGCCTTGGGGAGCAAGTCAGAAAGCAGGATTCCTCCAAGGTCTCTGCTTCAGTTCCTGCCCTAACTTCATAACGGACTATAACTGCAAGCTGAAATAAATCCTTTTCTCCATAAGGTGCTTTTGATCATGGTGTTTATTACAGCAATAGAAACCTCACTAGGACAAAATGTGTCTGTATGAACACCAAGATATATATACTGGAAAGTTTGGAACTCTTTTCATAGTAGCACCAACCTGGAAACAACTCAGTAGAATGGAATGGAAAACCAGTTACAACCTGTTTTTACCATGAGCACAGACAAAACAACCAGAACAACCAAAGTCCTGCTAAGCACAAACAGTGGGGATAGGTCTTGGATAAAAGAAGCCAGATGTGACAGCATACATTAGATAATTCTGTATATAAGTTCAGAAAACAAATACATTCATGGTATGTGTGTGTGGGGGGGGGGTTCTGGACAAAGATCACCATTTGGACTACAGAGCAAAAGAAGGAGTTTCCAGGAGCTTGCCACACTGGTCTTTAGTCTGTCAAGATGTACATTTATTACTTGTGTAATTTTTCTTGTGTGTATTATAGTTCAGCTAAAGGTTTACTTAAAATGAATGCTGTCAAGCTTTCTCAGTGAGTAAGGCACTTGCCACAAAGCCTGATAACCTGATCTCAGTAACTGGGACCCATGTGATAGAAGAGGACACCCACTCCTGACAGCTCTCCAACCTACACGCCCCTTACACATCACACATAGGCAAGATAAATGGAGAGGGACTTTGGTTTTTCTTTAAAAAAAAAAAAAAAAAAAAGGCCAGGGATGGTGGCTAACACCTTAATCTCAACACTCAGGAGGCAGAGGCAGGTAGATCTCTACATGCTTGAGGTCAGCCTGGTCCAATAATGAGATTCATAGTAAGACCGCTGGAGATGTGGCTCCGTGATTAAGAGCTTTTTTTTTTTTTTTTTTTTTTTTTTT